AGCCCACCCCCCCCCGTCCATGCAAGTAAACTTGCCCGAATCCAAAGAAAAACAGGCACATACCCAGACATCCAGCGCTTCAATTTTTTCGGTGCGTGGACCCCGGGAGGTCTGGACCACCTCCCTGATGGGTTGTTTTTTCGTCCCGAATCCTTGCGTCGAGGCCCCGGCTCCCGGGGCCCGTGGGAGCCCCCTGGAGGCCGAAGCTGCTCCCAAACCCGCTGCTCCATCTATTTTCGGAGCCTCGGGTCACCTCTGGGAATCCCACCCTGTCGTCCGACCCGATCTTGGGCCGTCCTGAAGTCATTCGGAGCCGCGCTGGAGCCAGCTTGCACCGTCTTGAAGCTCCCTTCGGTCCACCAAACCCTTGCGACCCCTCAGAAGTTCGACGCCGTGATTTTTCACAGAACGTCGACCCCCGGAGGTCTGGACCCCTTTCCCAGGACCAGCTTTTTTTACGACGACATGGGAGCCAATACAGTGAGGGTTTCGGATAAGGAGTCCAGAGTCTGGAAGCTGGTGGGGCTGCAATCATGGATTGGTCATTGATCTCACTGCCGTCCACCTCAGAGAGGACCCCCAAGGGTCGTTCCTTCACCAACGCCCCCACCGTAGTACTAAAGCCAAAAGGTCCGACTGGTGGAATAGTCCACGAGTGCAAAGGCTGTGGGGCACCGCACGCACAGCACCATGGCTTTGTATGCGACGCGCCAACGGTAGTGGTTGCAAGTTGCTTGTCGCTGCAATGGTTACCGCAAGAAGCTTGATGGCCTAGCGCTTCACGGTGCTGCTCCGTTTGGGCAGGCAGGCGTGCACACTCGGGGGAGAGGCCCTAACCAACTGGCGACTTCGGCAAGGGCCCACGGAGACCGAAAACGGTCGAACATGTCTTTACGACGAGCTCTCACCCCATCGCCTGCTGACTGGCGCCTGACTGTCTTGGACCACTTGGCGCCCGCGGACATGAAACAACTTTTAGGAGGCAACCACTGGGAGGTCTTCGTCGGAAGGATGAGGGAAGCTTAAGCCCCATTGGGGGGCTGTTATGCCGGAGAGGGCCTCGGATTAAGCGGGATTGAGCCTGATTAAGCGGGATTAAGCTGGATGGCGCGGGATGAGGCCGGAGAAAGCCAGACTTCGGACCGGGGCAAAATCAGGATTCGACCTCCCAGGAATTGCACACGAGCAGCTCGTTACGACGAGAGGAGGTGGGGGTGCCCTTGGCGCCGCAGAGGGAGCGAATCCGCAGCGGCAAAGCCAGCAGCGCCGAGGGCCGGGAGCGCCCCCATTCGGCCCACGGGCCCTCGGCGCCCTCGGGCGGGGGGGCCTCGCCGTCGCTCGGAGGGTCCACTCCGTGCGTGTGCACCCGGCGGGGTCGTGCGTGCATATTTTTTGTTCGCCCGAGGACCCAGGAGGCACCGTTTCCCCAACCAGTGCCTGCGCGGCAGGGGTCCTGGCGGAGGTCGAAGGATCTGGCGGAGGTTGGGGATGCGACTACTCTCAAGTCGTCCGCTGATCGGGGCTTCCTCAGGGGTCACTTTTTCGCCCGATGGTCCAAGATCGGGGAGACGTAAGACTCGGGTCCGGGGGAATCGGGTTGGCCCGACGGGGCCATTGTAAAAATGACGAGGCCCAATCTGAAATTTGACGCGAGCTCCCGCTGCAGGCATCCCACGAAACCTGGACCGTCAAAACCCAGGACGCGCTCGTCAAAAAAACGTCGGCAAACCCGGGTTCCGGCTTACTCGGGTCTTGCGTTCCCCCGACAAGAGTCGGCGGCGGGCCCAGGGGGGAAATGAGAAGGAGCAGGCCTTCTCAGAAGGCCGCGGGACTTCTTAGAAGTCCGGGGGACTTCTGAGAGGTCTCCTATAGCCTATTTCGAATACGGACTGAACTTCTCAGAAGCCCTCTCAGAAGTCCGGAAACCTCTCAGAAGCCTCGGAAGTCCCGCCCCTTCACTGTAAGAACGGTTTTTGAAGGCAGATCTGCCTTCAAAAAAGAACAGTTTTTTGAAGGCAGATCTGCCTTCAAAAAACCGCTCTTACAGAGTAGACCAGTATTTCCCCCCCGCGCCCGCCGCCGACAGGAGGCTCCCCGAGGGCCCTCGCCGAGGGAGCAATGCCCACGTCCGAGCGACGCCGGAGGTTGGGGATATGACTACTCTCAAGTCGTCCACTGATTGGGGTTTCCTCAGGTGTCGCTTCTTCGCCCGCCGCCGACAGGAGGCTCCCCGAGGGCCCTCGCCGAGAGAGCACGCCCACGTCCGAGCGATGCCGGAGGGGCGCGCGTCCAGGCCAGAGCCCCCGAGGCGGGGCCGGCCGTGGCCACGGGGGGCCCCTCCGGGAGGGCCCAGCGTCGGGCGAGGGGGCCTCGGGCTTCGCTGGAGGTGCCCAGGGGCGCGGAAATAGAGAGACACAATTGCCAAGACTCGCCCTATTTTCTTCTTCGATTTCCTGGGCTCTCGTCTTCCTCCCCACTCCCAGGCCCCCTCCAAGAGACCCCCAGGAAGCCCCAAGAGGCCCCCACGAGGCTTCCAGGCGGCCCCTGAGAGCTTCCCAGGAGGCCCACAAACTGCCCCCAAGAGGCCCCCAAGAGCGCTCGTCGTCGTCGTCGTCGTCGTCGTCGTCGTCGTCGTCGTCGTCGTCGTCGTCGTCGTCGTCGTCGCCATTCAGGGTCGGCGGCGCCGGCCGTAAGGCCTTCGCAATATATAGACACAAATCCCAAGATTCGCCATATTTTCTTCTTCGATGTTCTGGGCTTTCGTCTTCCTCGTCACCTCCTGTATATATTCCCGTATTTTCCGGGGGATCGACGATCCACTGCGTCTGCGTGTGTTTTCCCTTCGCAGGGCGAGCTGGGACAGCGGCAGCTGTGGCGCAAACGCGCAGCTGCGTGTGGCCGTGGCGGCGCGGGCCCCCCTCCCCGAAGGCCTCCAAGGACAACCACTGTCGTTTCAACTCGCTGTCCTCTCACCCCTGAGATCCGACGTTGCGAAACGATGCAACATAGAGAAAAATCGTGATCGGAACCCTACCCTGGGCCCCATCGTTTTGCGACATCGATCTAGCCGGAATCTAAATCGATTCTCAATGGTCCCGGGCCCCGGCGCCAGGCGGAAGACGCCCTGTGTGAAAAGTCCTAGGCATCCGGCGTTCCAAATTTTTCGATGCGTGAGATCCCGAAATCTGGACCAGGGCTGATGTTGCGTCCCGAATCGTTGGGCCCCCAAGAGCCGAAGACAGAAACAAAAACCAGCCGCTCCACTCGGATCTTTGGGAGGGGCCCTCCGCTGCCCACTGGTACCTGGGCCGTAACTACGGCCCTCGGGCGGCCGTTCGGGACGATCCAGGCGCCCACGGGACGCTCTCGGCGAGGCGCAGCCGCTGGAAGGCATCCGAAGGCTGGACGCCCGCCGCGCACCGCCCGAAAACCTCAGGGCCTCGAGCCTCGACCCATCGGGGCCCCGAGCCTCGCACCTCGAGCCTGGGGCCGGGGCCCCCCGGCGCCTGGTCCACCAGCGGGGGCAGCGGGGGCAGCGCCGAGGCGCCCGCCGGCGCCTCGGAGGCGGCCGCCGCCGCGGCCGCCCCTCTCGAGACGCCCGGCCGCCCGTGCCAGGCGGGCGGCGCGGCGGGGGGCCGGAGGAGCTGCGGCGAGGCCGCGGGGGCCACGCGCGCCTGGGGATCCCAGGCTCCTCCTCCACCTCCTCCTCCCTCCTCCTCCTCCTCCTCCTCCTCCTACTCCTCCTCCTCCTCCTCCTCCTCCTCCTGTTCCTCCTCCTCCTCCTCCTCCTCCTCCTCCTCGTCCTCCTCCTCCTCCTCCTCCTCCTCCTCCCTCTCCCTCCTCCTCTCCTCCTCCTCCTCCTCCTCCTCCTCCTCCTCCTCCTCCTCCTCCTCCTCCTCCTCCTCCTCCTCCTCCTCCTCCTCCTCCCTCTCCTCCCTGTTCTACTCGTTCCTCGTCCCTCCGTCCTTCCATCCTTCCTCCTCCTCCTCCTCCTGTTTCCTGCTCCTCCTTCTCCTTCTTTTCCAATCTCCTCCTCCTCCCTGTTCTACTCGTTCCGCCCTCCTCCTCCTCCTCCTCCTCCTCCTCCTCCTCCTCCTCCTCCTCCTCCTCCTCTCTCCTCCTCTCTCGTCCTCTCTCCTCGCGCCTTGCCCGTTACACCGGGGCTGCGCGGCCCTGCGCCGCGCCCGGCGGTGCAGAGCAGCCTCCGCAGGAAGGGGGAAGGGCAGCAGCATCGGAGGGAAGGGGAGGGAGGAGGGACCCAGAGATCCAGGGAGAGGAGGGAGGGAGAGATAACGTCAGCTTGTGATGAAACGATTCCGTGATGAGCGCGCGTTTAATTAGATTCCCTGCTCGGGCGAATCGCGGGGTGGCGCCCGCCAGATTGAAAATCAACAGCGGCGGCGCCGGCGATTAGCGCCGACGCCCAGCCGCCAGCGAGAAGGCGACAAACAGCACTGACTGGGGGAGGGGAGGGGTGCGGGAGGCAAAAGGCGGCAGAAACGGGGACCGTGAGCCGGGGCGACACCTGTTCGAAACGAGGAAGAGCTGCTGTCGGCGCTCGCCCCCGCACTCCCCGTCCTCTTTTTTCTGTCGAGCCAGTGCGCTTCCTCTGCCCTGGCCGCAGCCAAGGGGGGCGCCAGCTGCCTCTCGGCTGCGCGAGCAGGGCGGGCTGGACGATAAGGGGGCGTGGCCAAGCGGGGATTTTCCCAGTAGCTCACGTTGCTGATTTTTCGAGCGCCCCCTGGCGCCGAAAGCGGCCATGCACTGAGGACTGGCCCCTCGGTGGGGCGATCGAAACTAGCTGAGCGCAGCAGGTTTCGCACCCCCCTTCCTTCCCCAGCCTGTCGTCCGAACCCGAACAAAGCGGGCAGTCCTGCTCCCCCCTTCTGTCGTGGCCTCTGTAGTCGTCGACGACGACGACCGACCGACCGACCGACCGACCGACCGACCGACGACGACAACGACGAAGACTAGCACGAAGACGAGGACGACGACGAGGAGGACGAGGACGATAACGACGACGAGGACGACGGACGGCAGACGGCGACGGCGGCGGCGACGACGACGACACACTGCGGATGCTCTACGGGGGGGGGGGAAGCTGCGCAGGTCCGCTGGAGTCGTCGACGACGACGACGACGACCGACGACGACGAAGACGACGACTGCGCACTGCGGATGCCCTAGGGGGGTACTGTAATCGACGACGACGACGACGACGAAGAAGACGACGAGCCCGACAACGACGACGACGACGACGACGACAGCGCAGGCCCGCTGTAGTCGACAACGACGACTAACGACGGACGACGACGACGACGACGAAGAAGTCGACGATGACGACGACGACGCCGACGCCGACGCCGACGACGACGACCGACGACGACGACGACGACGACGACCGACGACGACGACGACGACGCACTGCGGATGCCCAACGGGGGGGGCTGCACAGGCCCGGTATAGTCAACGACGACGACGGCGACCACGACCACGACCACGACGACGACGGGCGACGACCATGACGACGACCACGACGACGACGACGACGACGACGACGACGACGACGACGACGACGACTACGGCGACTACCACGACGATGACAACGACGACGCCTGAGAGGGGTAACAAATCGCCTCGCATGTGTACGACCGTACAACAACTTCTTTACGACAGGCAACCGTTTTGAGGCTGTCATGCAAGGGGGTGCACGAACCCCTCGGCGACGCCCGCGACGACCTCCTGGAGCGGGTGATCCCAAAAAACATGTTTCACGCCCCGGGGGGACATACATATATATATATATACATATACATATACATACATATATATATATGTGTATATATATATATATACAGGGCTGCGCGCCATGCACCTTGGTCCCCTGAGTTTCGCACGCAAGCGGGGTGCGTGCGTGCGTACATGCACGCATGCATGTATTCACGCGCGCGCATGCACGCTGTGCGTATATATATATATATATGTATACCACTCATGTATACGGTTGTATGCGTGTATACAAAATACATATAAGCATGTGTATGTATATGTATATGTCAATCACACGTGTTTGTTGGCGCACGCACCAATATGTAATTATGGGTGCGCGTGCACATGCGTATCTCAGGCGGTAATGGCCTGGCCGCCTGCTCAGGGCATCTCGCAACTCAGAGGTGCGAGGGTCTCGGGCGAAGTAGCCACGAGTCGGAGCACGAGTAGGTTTGAATGTGCGTTGCGACGATGTTTCAAGAGAAAGCGAACTGACTTCCCCAGCTGACGACATACCCGAACCTGGAATTGCGAGGATGTCTCAAACAAAAATGGCCTGAACACCTCAGCTCAGGGCATCCCTGAATCCAGAATTGCGAGGATGTCTCAGGTGAACGTGGCGGACTACTCTGCGGCAGGGCATCTCGGAATCCAGAGTTGCGAGGTTGTTTCTAGCGAAAAAAGCCCGAACACCTCAGCTCAGGGAGCCCCGGAACCCAGAAATGCGAGAAGGTCTCAAACGGAAGTGGCCGGACAACCTTGGGGCAGGGCTTCTCTGGGGTCAGAGTTGCGAGGATGTCTCAGCCGGCAGTGGGAAGGAGGAAGGCGAAAGGAAAGAGTAATGGGAGGAGTCCCGCGGACACGAGGACAGGCAGGCACGAACGCTCAGGATCGGAAGTCATGGCATGGAGGCTGGAACTGACGCGGATGCAAGACGCTGGGAGCTGGCCTCCGAAAGCGTTGAAAGACAGGAGGGCCTAAGAGGGACTCAACGACGGGCGACGCCAGAACCTTTGGGAAACATCTGGAGGCCTTGTGAAAGTGTCGGAGTGCTACGTGTCTGATTGCTACGCAGCAAGGCGTATCCGAGGTTGACGTTGCGAGGATGTCTCAGGCGAAACTGGCCCGAGCACTATGGGGCAGGGCATCCCAGAAGTCAGCTGCGCGAGGGAGTCTCAAGCGAAGAGTGGTCTGAACACCTCAGGCAGGAAGGTCGAATAACCCCCTTGCAAGAGCGTCCGAGCAGCCCCCAGGGAGCTTCCCAGCAGGACGAGCAGCCCGGGAAGGGGCTTCCCAGCAGCACGGGGAGTCCGAAATGCGTTCGGGGGGGATGTGTGTGTGTGCACATGTGAACTTATTTTCTGTATGTATGCATGCGCATGTGTATGTATGTAAGTATGTATGTACGTATGGATATCAAATGACAACGCCTTCCACCGTCTGAACGTCCCAAGGGCGTTTGACGCTCGTGTTACACTGTAATTTATTGCGAAACGATGTCTACATCCGTGCAATAATTGCTTTGCAAGGAAATTCCATGCAAAACGCTCTTGGGCCGTCTTGGTCCGTTCGTAGCCCGAAAAAGCGAAAACCGAAAAAACCTTCAAACCTTTCAACAAATCAATGAATTTTGCCTCTTTGGGCCTTCTTGGGGCCCCTTTTGGGGCTCTCTTGAGCCGTTTAGGGGCCCTTTCTGGCCATCTTGGGGCGTCTTGGAGGCGTTCGGCCGTCTTCGGCCTGTCTTGGGGGCCTCTTGGGGCCCTCTTGGGAGCCTCTTGGGGTGCTCCTGAGGCTCTCTTGGGGCCGTCTTGAGGCTCCATTGGTAGTTTTCGGGCCCTCTTGGGATGTCTAGGGGCCCTCATTGGGCCGTTTTCGAGCCCTTTGGGGGGCCTCTGGGGCAGTGTTGGGACGATCTTTGGAGCCTCTTGGGCCGTCTTGGGCCGTTCTTGTCCTGGAAAAGCGAAAACTGAAAAAGCCTTCAAAAACAATTGAAATATCAATTAATGTTGCCTCTTCGGGCCTTCTTGGGAAGACGCCTCTTGGGGGCCTCTTGGGGCGTTTGGAAGCCATGTTGAAGGTTTTGGTGTGCTTTGGAAATGTCGACGAGCTGTCTTGGGCAATATTGGAAGCCTCTTTGGACCTTTCCAGAAGGCCGAAAGGCCGAAGGAACCCTTTGGAAGGGCTTCCGAGCAGCCCAGGGGTGGGGCTTCAAGCAGCGTAGCCCAAGAAGTCCGAAATTCGTCAGGTGTGGGGGGGGGGGGGGGGCGCTTTTTCCAGGGTGCCCGGCCCTATAAAGAGATATTTATGTGTGTGTATATATACATATATGTATGAATCAACCCCGGGGAGGGTACTTATTTGTTAATCACAAGCTGATGTTACAGAGGATATCGGAGGGAGGGGCAGGAGGATAAGAAGGAGGGACTTCGTGGGGCTGAGTGCTGGCGGCGCCCCAGACCCAGAGATTCGAGGTTCCGAGAGAAAAAAACTGGAACGGCCGTTGTTTACCGTGTTCAGCCTCCGGGGAAGCCCTCAGCGGGCCCCGGAACCGTCCAAAACTGCTTAGCACGAAAGACTGGCCTTGGGAGGTGGTCCATGCCTCCATGGGTCCACGCATCGAAAAAATTCGAGCACCGGATGTCTGGGGGAGGGCTCATCTCACCTTTCCCTCCTCGCACACTTTACAGGGTTGGTCGCAATCCTCCGTCGGCGCTGTTCTGCCGTTTTTCTGCTCCTCCCCCTGGGGGGCGTGGGGTGACCTAGTGACTCCGCCCCTGGGGGGATCTTCCCATCCGCTTTGCCTCTTCGTCTACCAATGTTGATGCCGTGCAGCTAGCTAGCTCTACGAGTCAACGAACGGAAGGAGAAAGAAAAGAAGGGGGAAGAGGAGGAGGAGGAGGAGGAGGAGGAGGAGGAGGAGGAGGGGGAGGAAGGGGAGGAGGAGGAGAAGGGCGAGGCAGGAAGAAGGGGGGAAGGAATGGCGGAAGCTGGCGGCGCAGGGCAAGGGGAGGCCTCCGCGCGCCGAAGCACGCGCGATGCATGGCGGGCGCCCGGGCAGGGGGGCAGACGCGCCCCTGCAGGAAGTGCAGTGGGCGCAGGGCGCCTTCCTCGCCGCAGGCTGAGCCCCAACGACTGTGATGACGATGGAACAACACACACACGCACGCACGCGCGCACGCACGCACGCACGCACGCACGCACGCACGCACACACACAGACACAGACACAGACACAGACACAGACACAGACACAGACACAGACACAGACACAGACACAGACACAGACACAGACACACAGACACAGACACAGACACAGACACAGACACACACCGCGCCCCTGCTGCGAAGAGCCGCCCGCCAGCTTATAAGCGCGGGGAGCCGGCCGGCGCGCCTGGCGCTGGAGCGCCCCCTCGTCAGCGCCGACTTCGTGGGGCTGAGCGGGGCCTCCTGCTGGCGGCGCCCAGAGTCCAAATTTCCGAGGCTCCTGAAAAACTGGAGCGGCCGGAATTCTGCCCCGGGACCGGCAGAAACTACCCAGAACGAAAAACCGGCCCTGGGGAAGTGGTCCAGACCTCCGCGGGTCCACGCATCGGAAAAATTGGAGCACTGGATGTTTGGGGAGGGGCTCATCTCACCTCTTTCCCTCCTCGCCCACTTTGCAGGGTAAGTCGCAGTCCTCTGTTTGCGCCCTCAACGGACCCAGGGACCGCCGTAAAAGGTTCAGGGCGCCGGCCCCCGGGAAGTGGTCCAGACCTGCGCAGCGGGGGTGGGTGGCGCGGGGCGGGCGGCCTTCTGAGAAGGTGCAGGGGGGGTCCTAGAATGTATGGGGCCTTCTGAGAAGGACCTGGCGGCTTCTGGGGTGCCGCCAGGTCCTTCTGAGAATGCCCCAGCCTTCCGAGAAGCCCCTCCGCCGTGTCAGACGGCCACCCCCGTCGCGAGGCAACCGCTGGTTTCGCCGACGGCTGGTGTCGCCCGGCTGATTTCGCCGCCCGGCGAAACCAGCTGCCGTCGGCGAAACCAGCTTCCGTCAGCGAAACCAGCTGCCGTCGGCGAAACCAGCTGCCGTCGGCAAAACCAGCTGCCGCCGGCGAAACTGTCCGATCCGCTCTGCCCGCCAAGGTCCGCCCGCCCGACCCGACCCGCCCGTGAGGGTCCGCCCGCCCGACCCGGCCCGCCCGATAGGGTTCGCGCGTGTTCGGACGACCGCGCGCCCCAATGTCTCGCCCGCCCGACCCGACCCGCCCGTGAGGGTCCGCCCGCCCGACACGACCCGACCCGCCCGCTAGGGTCCGCCCGCCCGGCCCCGCCCGCCCGTTGGGGTTCGCGCGTGCTCGGTCGAGCGTGCCCCACACTTTAGTGTCCTGCCTGGCCCGACACGCCCGTTAGGGTCCGCCCGCCCGACCCGACCCGACCCGCATGCTAGGCGCGCCCGCCCGACCCGATCCGCGCGGCCTATTCGGTCGAGCGCGCCCCGCGCGTTAATGCTCCGCCCGCCCGGCCCGACCCCCCGCTATAGGTTCGCCCGCCCGACCCGACCCGACCCGCGCCCCCGCCCGCCCGACCCGACCCTGCCGTTAAGGCCCGCCCGACCCGACCCGACCCGACCCGCCTGCAAGGGCCCGCCCGCCAGAACCGACCCGCCCGTGAGGGTTCGCGCGTGTTCGATCCGGCGAGCCACGCACTGCAACGTCCCGCCCGCCCGACCCGACCCGCCCGTGAGGGCCCGCCCGCCTGGCCCGACCTGGCCCGCCCGCTCGGGCCCGCGCCGCCCGCCCGCCCCCCGCTCGCCCGCCGGGGTTCGCGCGCGCTCGGCCGAGCGCGCCCCGCACTTTCATGCCCCGCCTGACCCGACCCGCCCGTTGGGGTCCGCCCGACCCGACCCGACCTGCCCGCTAGGGTCCGCCCGCCCGACCCGACCCGCCCGCCAAGGTTCGCGCGCGCTCGGTCGAGCGCGCCCCGCAATTCAGTGCCCCGCCCGACTGGCCCCACCCGCCCGCCACCTGGAGGGTAGACGGGCATGAAAAGCAAGCCCCCCCAAAAGGCACGGCACACATGACTCGGCATGTTTTCCTAAACGGTCCTGCGGTGTTGGGTCCTCGTTTTGAAAAGACAGCGCCCCGCATTCCTTCCTTCCTTCCTTCCTTCCTTCCTTCCTTCCTTCCTTCCGGCTGCACCCTCCCCCTCCTCCCTCCTCCCATCCCTTGCCTCTGCTCTCCACGTGCCCATCCATTCTGGTACGCCCCACGCACGGTTCGCGGCCACATAGGGAGCTCCACCGAAGGCCTGGGCGGCAGGGTCCGCACGCGGGGGCCGCCACTCATTTCGGCACACCCTTCACACGGTTCGTGGCCCCACAGGGAGCTCCACAGAAGGCCCCAGCAGCAAGGTCCGCACGCGGGGGTCGCCACCCATTTCGGCACACCCCTCACACGGTTCGTGGCCCCACAAGGAGCTCCACAGACGGCCCCAATGGCAGGGTCCGTATGCGGGGGCCGCCACCCGGCACACCCCTCACACGGTTCGTGACCCCACAGGGAGCCCCACAGACGGCCCCAGTGGCAGGGTCCGCACGCGGGGGCCGCCACCCATGTCGGCACACCCCTCAGACGGTTCGTGGCCCCACAGGGAGCTCCACCGAAGGCCCCAGTGGCAGGGTCCGCATGCGGTGACAGCCACCCATTTCGGCTTACCTCCATACGGTTCCTGGCTCCACAGGGAACTCCACCGAATGCCCCACTGGCAGGGTCCGCATGCGGGGGCCGCCACCCAGTCTGGCACACCCTTCAGACGGTTCGTGGCCCCACAGGGAGCTTCACCGAAGGCCCCAGTGGCAGGGTCCGCATGCAGGGGGCCGCCACCCATTTTGGCACACCCTTCATACGGTTCGTGGCCCCACAGGGAGCTCCACCGAAGGCCCCAGCGGCACGGTCAGCACGGGGGCCGCCACCCATTTCGGCACACCCCTCACACGGTTCGTGGCCCCACATGGAGCTCCACAGACGGCCCCAATGACAGGGTCCGCATGCGAGGACCGCCACTCATCTGGGCACACCCCTCACAGGGTTCGTGACCCCACAGGGAGTTCCGCCGAAGGCCTGGGCGGAAGGGTCCGCATGCGGGGGCCGCCACCCATGTCGGCACACCCCTCACACGGTTCGTGGCCCTACAGGGAGCCCCACCGCAGGCTTTAATGGCAGGGTCCGCACGCGGGGACCGCCACTCATCTTGGCGAACCAGGGAGCTCCGCCGAATGCTCCAGCGGCACGGTCCACACGCGGCACGGGTCGTGGCCCTACAGGGAGGTCCACAGAAGGCCCCAGAGGCAGGGTCCGCATGCGGGGACCGCCACCCATGTCGGCACACCCCTCAGACGGTTCGTGGCCCCACAGGGAGCCCCACAGACGGCCCTAGTGGCAGGGTCCGCATGCGTCAGCGCCACTCATGTCGGCACGCCCCTCGCACGGCTCGTGGCCCCACAAGGAGCTCCACCGAAGGCTCCAATGGCAAGGTCCGCATGCGTCAACGCCACCCATTTCGGCGCACCTCTCAAACGGCTCGTTGCCCCACGGGGAGCCCCCAAAGATCGCCGAAGAGGCCCAAGACGGCCCCAAGATGCCCCCAAGACGGCCCAAGAGTCCTCCGAGACGCTCAAGATGGCCTCCAAGACGGCCCAAGAGGCCTCCAAGACGTCCCCCAAGAAGGCCCGAAAGGGTCAAAATGGCCTCCCTACAGCCAAAATGACCTTCAAGATGCCCACGTGTTCCCCGAAGGCTTTCCAAACCGATTTGGGGAACACATGGTCTGATAGCTTGGCAAGTCTGTCCTCAACGTTCGGCCACATAGGCGCTTCCAAAAGGCAGGGGGCGGCGGTGATTCGCCGTAGGCGTCTTCGATCCGCCGCCCCCTGTTGATTCATCACAGGGGTCCCTGACGTGCTAGATCCTTTCGGTTTTGATTTCGGTTCTTTTTCCAAAAGAACTCCCCCTGGGGCTTCGGCCCGTCCCGCTGGGGTCCCGGAAGGGAGCTCAATCCCCAATTGATCCTCCAAGACGGCTCAAGATGGCCTCCAAGATGGCCACGTTGGTCCAAGATGGCCACCAAGATGGTCCAAGATGTTCTCCAAGTCTGCCCAAGATGATCCAAGACGGCCTCCAAGACGGCCCAAGAGAGTCCAAGATACCTCCAAGTTCTCCCAAGAAGCCTCCAAGACGGCCCAAGACGACCCAAGAGGCCTCCAAGAGGTTCTGAAGGAGGGCCCGAAGAGGCCAAAATCATTGATTTCCCTTTGGGTTTTGACAGATTTGGGCATTTGCTTCTTTGCAGCCCTCCGGCGGCCCAAGACGGCCCAAGAGGCCGCCAAGATCGCCCCAAGATCGCCCACGAGCCCTCCAAGAGGGCCCCATGACGGCCCAAGAGGCCCCCAAGACGGCCCCAAGAGGCCCCCAAGACGGTCCAGGAGGCCTCCAAGACGCCCAAGATGGCCTCAGAGACGGCCCCGAAGCGCCCCAAGAGAGCCCCAAGCCAGTTCAGAGAGGCCCCCAATAGGGCTCCCGACGGCGTCAGACGGGCCAGGAACCCGCCAAGATGGCCGAAGTTGGCTCGAAGCTGGCCCAAGACGGCCCAAGAGGCCTCCAAGAGGGCCCCCAAGAAGGCCCGAAAGGGTAAAAATGGCCTCCCGACAGCCAACATGACCTTCAAGATGCCCACGTGTTCCCCGAAGGCTTTCCAAACCGATTTGGGGAACACACGGTCCGATAGCTTGGCAAGTCTGTCCTCAACGTTCGGCCACATAGGCGCTTCCAAAAGGCAGGGGGCGGCGGTGATTCGCCGTAGGCGTCTTCGATCCGCCGCCCCCTGTTGATTCATTACAGGGGTCCCCGGCGTGCTAGATCCTTTCGGTTTTGATTTCGGTTCTTTTTCCAAAAGAACTCCCCCTGGGGCTTCGGCCCGTCCCGCTGGGGTCCCGGAAGGGAGCTCAATCCCCAATTGATCCTCCAAGACGGCTCAAGATGGCCTCCAAGATGGCCACGTTGGTCCAAGATGGCCACCAAGATGGTCCAAGATGTTCTCCAAGTCCGCCCAAGATGATCCAAGACGGCCTCCAAGACGGCCCAAGAGAGTCCAAGATACCTCCAAGTTCTCCCAAGAAGCCTCCAAGACGGCCCAAGACGACCCAAGAGGCCTCCAAGAGGTTCTGAAGGAGGGCCCGAAGAGGCCAAAATCATTGATTTCCCTTTGGGTTTTGACAGATTTGGGCATTTGCTTCTTTGCAGCCCTCCGGCGGCCCAAGACGGCCCAAGAGGCCGCCAAGATCGCCCCAAGATCGCCCACGAGCCCTCCAAGAGGGCCCCATGACGGCCCAAGAGGCCCCCAAGACGGCCCCAAGAGGCCCCCAAGACGGTCCAGGAGGCCTCCAAGACGCCCAAGATGGCCTCAGAGACGGCCCC